AGAAACATGCTCCCTTACCTGCCAAGGATGTCTTAATGCGAGATTATGTACCTTACTCTTTGCTATTCTTTTTGCAACTATTCTCTGACTCCCAGGACTTAGGAGGTACCTCTGTGGAAGTCTTCATTACCTATGTGGAGACAGGGAAAGTGCTCAGCTGCTGAACTACCAACGCATGGGCTTCAGAAAAGCCTGCTAGCGAAGCTCTGTTTCCCAGCCCTACCACTCCTATTTTATTCCTCTGAACTCAAATATGTGAACAAAGTATGTGAAATAACAAGCAGCACGTATTTCCCTGAGCAAGAATCGAATGCAGAAAGGAAAGTATTTGCATATTAGAAATCCTGTTCTGTAGAAAACCTGTATGTGCCAGGAAAACAGAACAAATGTGCTGAAGGAATTTAGGCAAAATTGCACCTTTGCTGCGCTGCTTATGAAAAATCACATCCTCTACAGCGGGTCTGTCACTGACATTGGCATCAGCATTTCATCAAAATCAAACAAATATGAAAAACAAACACCATGAACAAGACCACTGGTTACACAGCATTCATGGTCCAACATATTTAACCAGGATTTGGAAAAGAACCTTGCTGAAACTGAACACCTGCCTTCGTGTACCTAACAGACCCTCTCCGAATATCCAAACAAGTGGTGCGAGGGCAGAAGACAGTATGTGACAACAGGTTACTCGAACAACACCCACCCATGTCAAGGGGGAGACAGGCAGCCCGCAGCAGCCTTCCTGCTCTGCCACCTCCTGGGAGGTCCCTCATGAGATGTAAACCCCAGGAGCTGGCTGTGCGTGTAGAGCAGCTCTCTGCAAGAGCCACGTCAAAAAAATTGCAGAATTGGAGCAGGAGGGTACAAGAAGAAATAAAAAGGGAACACAGAAGTCTGGTAGAGTTCTGGATACCTCAAAACATCAGAGGTGTAAAAAGAGTAAAGTTCATCCCCGCTTTATCTCAAAGGAAAGTCCAGTCCCTTTCCACACTAGAGTCACACAGCTGTACCCAAACGGTACATTTTCTTTCACCACTTTGCTGTCTGGTGGTGGTAACTCCCTTGGAAGAGCTGTATGACAAATCCGTTTTAGCAACTGCAACACAAGTGGCAACAATTTCTAACCAAATGCAGTACCTGTCTGTTCAAAGCCAAATGAAAGAAAGAGTTAGGGATGCTTCTGCTGCTGTGGAATGTCCACTTCTTTGTTCTACTCTCCCCTTGGTCCCTCTGTTCAGCTCTCAGAAAGCTCTTCCCTTGCTCAGTTTTAGGGAAAAGAGGGGTATTGGTCACTGATAGAGGAGCGACTGTAAGTACAACACACTACAACACTTCAAACATTAAATCCACCTATGGTACTATGTACATCATATTCTCACTCCAGGACCACCTTACAGATAGTCATTCACTTGTTCAAGTTAAACCAGCATGGAAACACTGCTGGTCACAGGCTACTCGACAGTCTTCATCTTACTTTAATACTGTTCCTATAAGCTTCTTGATATTAGAAGCCTAGGTACTTCCAAATACATGGTTATTCAATATATACAATATTGTATAGACAAGGTTTTGTGGTTTTGTTCAATATATACAATATTGTATAGACAAATACATTGTATATATACAAATATCAGCCATATACAAATATATGGCTAATGTCAAATAACAAACAGTATGATGGTTTTCAACTTTCTGTTCTAGCATAGACGCTGCCATTAAGTTGTTGCTTTTTAAAGACATCCCCATGTATAGTTTTCAGGCAATCTTCATGATCACAGTTGTACTTCTGTGATTTCAATTCTTCTGGCATACACAAACTACTTCTGTATCATTTTCAGCTTTATTTGTTAATGGTTGTAATAAACACACACAAAAATAAAGAATCAAAAAGTCAAACTGAACTCACTCTATGTTTATCTGAGTATTGTACAGCTTATATGAATCTGCCTGTTCAGAGTAAAAGACATGTCACATGGAAGTTGAGATAAAAAACATACAGTTTTTGCTATTAATCTCCCATCCAATATTCCAGTGGAGCCATTCCGTTATCTATGAACACATAAAAATTTAGCATTGTGTATGATTAGAGTTGCTAATCAAGTTGTGTCTTTATCCCAATGCATATTTACTAGCAATGATAAGGCTCTTTTGTAAGTTATGCCGTTCTGTCTTTGAGAAAACTGGGGAAGTTACCATCACTTCAGGTAGCATTTACTCCTGGACGGAGTAAATCTTCTTTCAAAATTATCTGGGCTGACTAAAACACACAGTGTGCCGACCTCCAGGCAACCCTCACAAGCCTGCTGTTTCTCACTCTTCCCTGCCATCTCTGCCAACACAAGTGCAGAGGGAATATCTAATCCTGGGACACTCAGCTGTGTATGTTTTGGTCACAGGTCACAGACG